ACTGAGGTTTTCGGAAGCCCCACCAGATTCGCGCAATGCGATGTAGACAACGATGTTCGAACACGGGTTTTACATAGTGCCTGTAATGGTGAGATATAGCAGCTCAAGTGGTCAAACTTTTCTACTTGCTCTATAGCTTCTCCAGTTAGGGTGAGGTTGGGGACAGCGGCAACCCAATCTTACAGCAAAATATTACACTTTGAAGGTGCCAAACGCATACCGAACATGGCTACACTAGCACTCAAACCATCCGGAAAGGCCTGTAACTTACCGGGATATTCGCTTAACAGCCCAATACCGTCTGCATCCTTCAGATCAGACAGTCTACCACCTGGGAGCAAATTGATAGCACTTTTCTCAAATGGGGACAGGAGTCTTTCCAGAATCGAATCTATAACGAAGTTAAATAGAAAAAGGGAAAAGGCAGCGTTGACGAACATCGCTTTCTGAACTCGGGTGAAAAAGTGCCGTAGGCTGAAACAGGGCGTCGGTTATGATAATAAGGGGATCGTAATATTGAAATAAAATTCTCGAGCACATCCTTCAGTTACAGGCAGCGCCAGGGTTTTGAGCGTTCGACTGAGTCGAAAGCTGCTTTTAGATCAAGGAAGACAGATATGGTGGGTATCCGAAATGAATGTTGGTGCTCTAGAATTTGACGAAGAGTGAAAAAGTGGTCGATACAACCTCGACCAGGTCTAAAACCAAACTGATTCCTACGTGAACTCTTCACGTGCTGCATGCAATCGACGGGATATGATTTCAGATGGAGTATTGATGTCAACTGGCAGTATTAGACCGACTGATGTAGTAGTTGACAGACCTAATGTCGATGGGGTCCAGTTGAACTCTCGAAATGTTTGGTACATCGTTTAAGATGCCGTTGCTGAATATGAATCAGTGTACCGTCAAACTCCTTAATCACATCACTTGCACCTCCTTTCATTGGGCCCGTACTTCTAATTAAACGAAAAAGATAGCGACTAGTACCTATAGCCGCAGTGTTCTACATCTCTCCACACTTTACTATCCACCACTTCTCGCAGGCATTCCTCAGACTCTTGATAAGCTAGCGTTTCAGGGATTTGCGCGCTTCGTTGTATTTTGCATTAGAAGGAATGGCCTTCCGAGCGTCTGGCAAGGCAACCGGGATCAAAGGAGATCCAGTGAGTCCCTCGGCTGGTGGTTAAACTGAGAGGCGGTCAGATAATTCCGCTGCAAATGCCTATTTGCAAATATTGCTGGCACTGTATTATAGGCATCCGTTCCTGGTGGCGCTTTTGCGGTTGTTTAACAGAAGTACAGAGAATCTGGCTCGTCATGAAGCGTGGTTCCTGTCCACGGGTGTTGACCAGTAGGAGCGCAGTCTTTCATGGATCATCTCCAGCGGTGACTGATGGCGATTTGGTCCATTCGAGTCCAGTGCTATGAAGAAGTTGGCAGTTTCCATGTAAGCCGATATCGTTTCTTGTACGATAAGTTGGTGCCTGACAGGAACAGTCCGTGGTCAGCGCAAAGTTGGGGTAGGCGTTCTCCGTTTTTCGTCCAGTTAGCTGGGATTGCATGAGAACCACCAAGAATCCTTTTTGATTCATCCTGGATTATCACCTGAGCATTGAAGTCCACAACAACCACTACGATGTCCGTCGACCGAGCGCTTCGGAACAGTAGAGATCGTTGTAGAACTCATTTTGCTTTCTGGCAAACTGAAATCAGTCGGTGCATACACGGATACAATGAATAAGCATTGGCGCTTCGTTCTGTAGATTTGGACCCGTACTGAACCGTCGAGATGTTCAGAGCAAAGTCGGCTACTGACTGGAACCCAGTCAAGTGAGCGCTCAACCTTAGCACTTGGCGCAATCTCAACACCAGCAACATGGCGAGCGTCAGATGCCGAATCGCCTGATATACGAAGTCTGAAGTGTGAGGGTGAGGATCTGAAGAACGCAAGGTGATGATTGAAGTCGGATCTTGTAACTTTCGTTGCAGGTCTGGACCCAGGTCATCACGTATTTTGTTCCTGGTGTCACCATGGATTCGACGGATGATAAGACGCAACCTAAAAGATCCTATCGGTATGTACAATTGCAAGCTATATCCCAAATAGGGATAGGTTAACCGATCCGTTTAGGAAAAGTAACACTGGGCATTGAGTTGAGGCAGACGGGAATAACACCACAAACGAAAAATTTTCAGTGTCACACTGTCTAAACTGGCACGTAAACCAGGGTGAGGTTCAGTCAGTGGGGTCTGCACTCAATCCGACGGAATCCGCCATTCCTGATCACTTGCATCCAGAGGTCTTAACGCTATTGCTATCATCGATCATCAATAGCTGGAAACGGGATCAGTACCAGCCGACTAACGCCAAGTGACAATATCGTCCATTCATAACAAGGATGACACAGCAGATATGGAAAATTATTGTTTTACTTGTGTCAGAAGAACATGGATCCCTGAAGGGTAGATTCTGATGCTCCTGGACGAGGTGACAACAGACTGAACAAAAGATCAATGGGTGACTTTCAAGTATTTTTCGATTCTGTTGCCCCATGGTCCGAGGTTTGAGCCCCATCACCCGCACTCAAC